CGGCGGCAACGGCGGCGGCGGCGGCGGCAACGGCGGCGGCGGCGGCGGCGGTGGCGGTGGAGAACCCTCTCACCCCCCCCCTGTCGCGACGCACCTACCAGCACCCCCACTAGTCGTGCGGCGCGATTGGTCGTTCGCGCAGCCGGGCCTACAGCCGTTGTCGCGCCGGTCTATACACCGTCAGGGACGACCACCACGTATAGAACGCTTCTGGATATATCGTATGTGCCCGGAGTCTATCTGGGTGTCGCGCAAACCGAGGGCGAGGCTGTCGCGGGGGAGGAGACCCGGGAAGGAAGAAGGCATACACGATCGTCGAAGTTGTCGGTATACAGGAACCGGCTAGAGAAACGATCCGACATAACGGAAATGACGTAACGACTGTCAGATTGGAGAATCCCGATCTCAAGGGTTGGGCTTCCCCCCTTCTCGATGGAGGTCGCCAATGAGAAGGGCAGAGATAATGAGGATCGAGACCTACGTGCGCGCTTTCGTACACACGCGCGCGGAATCGGTCGACTCGCGCGTTTGGGGATGACGGCGAAGATCAATCGGCGAACGGGCGTGCCCGGGATTGTAATATCCGCGGATATTGTAACACCTTGGAAGTTCGGCTTAACGTAATGGTAATGGAAACAGGGGCGAGTGATAGATAGGGACAATTAGCGGTCGTCGTTTTGGTTCCGTTCTCGTGATTAGAACGCGACCGAAGATTATCTCCCGATTACCCCACAGATTCCGTGAGATATTCGGGCAAACTGAATTACCGCGTACTCAATTTGATACTTAGATTTTTATATTTCCGAATGCGATTCTATTAATCGCTAAGTCAAATTTGTTGAAATGAATCGTTAAATGGCTATACCGAATGACTTTGACCAATGCTGAAGGACAACATCGAAATGGATGATGCAATTAATGACAAGTGAAAATGCATTCCGCTGGATTACCGCACAAAAAGAGACTTTTGCTTTTTATCATCTTTTTCGTAAGATTGGTAATTAATTAATCGCTGCTACCTTTTGCAAACTGTGCAACGAAAGGATCACATATTAGATACAACAATATTAGCGTGAGAAGTATAAATATATATTATAAAAAATTAAGCAAGATCTTAAATTAAGAAAGAACGATGATATACAGAATTCCTTTTGAAATCTATTTATATATATTTTCTAATTTTATTACTTTATCGAGAAATTAAGATTATTTTTATGAGATTATTTTATTTTAGAAATAATTTTATATATACCTAGTTAAACAATTAAATCAATATTCTTGATCATCATTTTTGAATGAAAATCTTGACTATAAATTTCTTTCTAAAATTATCACAGCGCCAATGATTTAAAATATTGACAATGATATATTTAGTTTATGATAGTTTATGATATGTTTAGTTATATTTTGTAACTTATTTTTACCTATTCGCTAACTCGATACTAATAAGATGTCACCACTTTATTAGTCTGTTTAAGAAATATTTCTTTTCCCAAGAATGACTGATTTGTATACTCATTTAACTTTAGCTCAACACGCTGTGGACACTTACATATATTTACATATTATATACCCTCCATATATTTTCGGAAACAATAATTTTACAAAAATTTTAAATAAAATGGAGAAACAACGTACAACTTAATTAAAACTTAATAAAAAGACTAAAAATAAAAATATGATTTATATCATATTTTAAAAATTAAAACTCATTTTCATCAATATATATATAATTTTTTTTAAGTCTCTCTCTCTCTCTCTCTCTCTCTCTCTTTCTCTTTCCCTCTCTCTCTCACTTAAACAGAATCGCAGTAGAAAGTCAATACTCTTTTGTTACGTGCCGGGTGACAAGACGGTAACTGTCGGCATGCGGGAAAAGAGGAACCGCGGAAGGGATGAGTTGAGGTTGCCATTCTTGTATCCGAAGAATTTCCTTCCGACTCTCGATTCCATACGACAGCCGAAATAATGTATCTAGATGTTGCTGGTGTCACGGGCAAAACTTTGAAAAGCGGATTCGTGAGTTCTGGTCGCTTTTCATGAACGAGCGGCTCACGCCGCTCCGAAGCCGGACGTCAATAGAAGCTCGTGCAAGGAAGAAAAGCGATGTCTTTCAAACTTTCTCTTGCATTATAATATTCAGAAATTATTGTGTTCACTGTCACGCTTCTCGTTCCTCATTTTCCTCTCATCCAATTAATGCTGCGCATCGAATTTTGGATTTTATATCGCGATGTTATATTGAATAAATCTCGTTCAGATACCTTTCGAATCCTATTCAAAGCATGTCGACATAGATGAACAAATCCGACATAGATGAACAAATCGACATAGATGAACAAATCCGACTCTTAAGTGCGATAATTAATTACAGGTTCGTGCTAGTCGGCTAAAAAAGATTTCACGGTACACCGAGTTCATCGTTAAATATCGAAAATGTGAACATTAACAGGTCTATGGTCTCACGTGACTATATCGATTTCGAGAGGAGGCAAGTTGTCAATGCAAGTTTAATGTCCCGGCCCTAATGGCGTATGGTTGTTTATGTGAGTAGATCGACGATCATGGGCGCGTAAAAAAACGGTGGCAGTCAAATATCAAGGGACGGTTCGGTAATGGTACAAGAAAGAATGGTGAGATATAAGTTTGTTGTAAGAAACGATTTATCGCAGTTATATCCATTTGTCGCATTGCAGTGAGGAACGTACATTATGCGATCCTTCGAGACTCATTGGACTTCTGCACCGAAGGCATCCTGACGGAATCTCTTAATGAACAAGGAACGCATATCAACTTCAACACTTTGAGAAGCGATCGAGTATACGCGATAAAACAAAAACATAGTCTCGTTATTATAATTGTAAAAATATAATACTGCAATATTGCCCGTAATAACACGCTACAGGAACTAAATAATGGGAATAATTTCCGATAAGAACAGACTCTCTGTTTCTTTCTGTCTCTCTCTCTCTCTCTCTCTCTGTTTAATTTTCTCAAAGATTAAACTAGACAATTTAAGTTTCTTAAATAATTCTAATACTATTAATCGTTTCCTCTTGGTTTTGATGTTTTTACACCTGCAATATATTTTTAATTTCACGCAATTTTTATGAAAGGAAATTTCTTTTTGTTTGATACTACTCGCATGCGCGAGATAACTTATAATTTACTAACTGAAATTTTTTTCGACGTGATACGCGAGCCAAACTGAATGTCTAAGTGCCTCGTAGGAACTTTCGAGCAGTTTTGCAGGGACGGAAACGTGACTACGCTACCAATGCGTATATTCATTCAGGAACGTTCATAATACTTCCCGATACGGCCGAAACACCGTCTCTCGCATGGTTCGCCGACGGCATTCGAACAAGATTCGTGATGAAGCCGCCGTGTATAATTGACTCTAATCGCTCTTCAATCATCTAAGGCGTTACGCGATTCTCATGTACGAAATATAACAACTTTTAATTAAAAATCGCATCGTAACGCGATGATGCGCGAGATTTCACAGCACCGGAAATTAAAAACAAAAGACAGAACGTAAAATAAAATATAAAACGTATTGATATTAAATAAGGAATAAAACTGCAGTATATATTTATGCTTTTTTAATCTAAGAAAAGCACGTATTTTTAGCTTGTTTATCTTATAATAACATATATAGTGTCGTGTGACTCGACATTTTCATTAAGAAAAGAACATTATTATTACAGACGGATGCTCGGCGGAAAATTTATGCGCTAAAGGAAACAGAGACAATCGTATTTTCCGTCGCATCGCCGTCCGCGCTTATTGGAAAACTCGTTTGCGCCGCTTTCCAGTTAAAACGCGAAGACAAAGTTGAATTTACGCTTTCCGAGAATGGTCGATCTTCAAACCGTTCCATTAAACTCCTCCTTAGCATTTAAGTTTCAAATGATACGCACGATAGCTGCTTGAGCACGTGTCTTGCTTTTAAAAGGGGATTGATACATTTTTTATCGGGTCGTACGATCGGTAGCTTTTATCCTATGCTATAGATAGAACTACGGCGGATAAGCCTTTAATCTTTCTCGCAGAAATATGATTTGGTAAATCATGCATTGTGTGCACGAGGTCGAGTTAGCTTCAAATTTGGAGATGCATTAAGCGTAATTATTACCTTAATAAGGTCCCTTTTCAGGCGATGAGTTTATACAATCTATACACGCATTACGAAAGTTTACCTAGCTCTTCAAACTTTGTCGAACTAAAATTATTGAAGACGCAGTCGGGATTCTCCATTGGTCTGCAACCAAGTATCTGTTACTCCCTTATAATTTCGGATCGAACTGATATAATTTATTTCCTGATGTAAAATTCATTCATACATTCTTCCATTCAGTCGGAAAACTAGAAATTAAATATAAATAATATAAATATAAATATAAATGTAAATGTAAATATAAAATACTTTTATTTAATTAATGATCCATTAATTTTCTCTTGATGATTTACGATATATTTGGATCGAGAGACGATAAACGAGCATGGTCACGTATGCATGATCTATGCGTTACTAATTGCGTCTGCATTACTTGCTTAACTGTACTTTCGGGCGGTACCAGCACGATATTCGTGATAGCGGGAACAGAATCTGCAAAGAGAGACGAGAGGCCGTCTCCGGAACGAATGCAGTTTGCATCTGTTTTTCTGCTATGAGATTCTCCGCCCTCTCTTCCCCTCCCTCCCTTTCTCCGTCTCTGCATAAATTCCAACGCATTACCATACATCGTGCTGCTCTGACATTGATGTGACGCAATTCACATTAAGATTCACATTAAGATTAAGAGATCTAGCGCGCGACATGCGATCGCGGTCACCGATTTATTGATCCACCGAATAGTTTCGATTGCCGCATTGCATCTCGCGATTCCCAATGCCGTAGCGCGAGGTTACGCCGCAAATGCGAAAAGACCCAGAACAAAGCTAATTAATCGTTATTCAGTCATAGATTTTGTAGACAAAACATCATTGCTCTGTAAAGCTTCCATTTTTGCAGAAAATTATAGTAGTCGTATCAAAATAGATAAATCTTATTTTCCTTTCTGTGTTCAGTTTTCTTTACATTATCTTTTAATGCAGCAACAGAAACAAATGATAATTTATAATACATTACGTAAATTATCGCTAATTTATATTATATTATAAATATATCGATGTAAATATCACCAGATAATTTTATCATTCTATATTATTTACACAATGTAAGTTATAAATTTTTTATAAACAAATTTAAAATAATTATGACATAAATTATATTATATATATTCATATTTTTCATTTATATATACATCAATTTTGTTTATATATCTAAATTCAAAATATATTTAAAAAATTTATTATGTCGTCCCCTTGGGAGAGAAACATAGGAAATTTATGTCTTGAATTTTTCCAAACGTTCCAAGCAGTCTCGCTTTGTAGACGAGATTCCCGGCTTAAGCGCAGCTTCCGCGATATCATATTTCTTGGAAAATTCCCGCAGTAATGGTCGCTTACAAGATGAAGTAGTAGTCAGGGCATGGGTCGTGCTTTTTACAGCCCTGGTTATACTGCGCGGTGCTAGTATTGACCGGCGCCCCTTACTAACCGTGTTGAGAACATCAGAAACCGAAGTATAGCAACCCCTTTTGCGCCTTTCTCCTCTACCCTGAAGCTTGATCTTCCTTCATGCCGCATCCCCCTGACTCTTACATCCAGCACTTGCATCTACGCACCTGCGTTCTCCACGATGTAATGTCAGTTAACTGTAATATCTTACGAGTAGTCAATATCGAACGCCAGAGAGCATCGAGTTCCTCTTCTTCTCGCCGATACATAATGTTAAAAATTATGATTATTCTTGCTTAATAAAAATATCGAGACAGCAGTCTTTGAAGTCTCTAGAGAGAATAATCTCTCGAGAGGAAGGATTCTAAAGTCTTTTCTCACGAAAATGGTATGAATTCACGATTGGTCGTCGCTTTAATTGAATTTTAATTCAAGAATTACCCCGATATCCAGTGATGGAAATTAAAAATTCACCCGAAAGATAGCGCGAGGCAAAAAAATCTCACTGAGGGGAAAAGATATTTCGGTTCTCCGTTGGGACTAAAGAGGTAGCGATCTGTATTATTAATTGTAGCACCGGCGTTGGTTGCACGTGCATGTTATACTAGCCGGGAATACTATCGCAGCGAGGCCACTGCATCCGTGACGTTGCATCCGCGAAATTGATTGCAGTCGGTCGTGCGGAAAGTGGACCCCTCCCCCTCCCCTTCCCTCGACAAAGTAGCGACGGCGCTGTTAACGACATTGATTTTGCGAGATAATTAGAGCAGATGATTTTAATTAATAATACACGATAATGAACGAAATCTCTTCCGCGAGATATTTGCATATAAGCCTTTCGTCTTACGCGAGGCGGGGGAGGGAGAGGAATACACGGAATACGGGAAACGAGTCGGTGTGCTCGTTGCGCACCGAAATTTATCGCGATCGCGTGATTACAGGGCGGTCCAAACGTTAATTGTGTACGACGAATATCCCGTAATTTCCGGTTCACTGACGATGAAGGAATCATGTTACGTCAGGCGTTACATGAAAAAGAAAAATAAAACAGGATCAATCAAGGATTCTTTAAGGGAGGAGAGGGTGGGGAGGAAAGAGAGAGAGATTAAAATCGAGCAAATCGATCCGCTCGGGTGCAACGTTCTCGCGTGCTCGATGCCGCGATCTGTTTCCTCTCGTGTCATTTTTCCCCCGCCGTGGTTTCGTACGATTCGCGACTCACCGTCTCGTAATTATCTACATCGCGGCATTCCTCCGCGTTTCTCGTCGTGCGGCAATCCGTATGGCACATTGATAAGATCGCCTATTACGCGCGACTTCTGGTCGAATTAATTTACGGATTAGCGTAATCGCTCGAGCGAGTCCGCTTAATAATTATCGCTTACACCTGACGGGTGTGCAACCATTACCAGTTTCCAGCATGCATCTCTGGGGGGGGGGGGAAATTCATTTTCAGCGCGCAATCTCCCGCTGTTGCTCTTATTATTAAGCGGATTACCCGGGCGCGCGTGCGCCAAATCGAATTTGGAATTTCGCCGATAATCCACGGGGGGTCCGCACGTGGCTATTGAAGTTCGACGTCAAATTTGATACAGATTTGAGTAATTGACGAGGAAGTTTACCAATTAACCCCCTCGACTTTATTACCCTTATGTAACGGAAAGCCGATCGTATTCGCTCGTTTATCGTGCAAATGATATAATATCCGATCGCGACTTTGATCCCGCAATTTCTTTTTATCAGCGACGGCTGATAATTTCCAGCGCGAATATATGTCCGAGGGGATAATTTCCAGCCGAGAAATTATCGCTCCTAAAAGAGCCGAGCGTCGCTTCGCTAATCTCAGTGCTAATTATGACACGATCGTGGTACTGCGATGACCACTGTCAGGGACAGTAGGACAGCTCGGTCGAGACAAAAGCCGTATTAAGCGCGGATAGGCCTGCATTTTGGCGATACGGGTCCGCCTCTTATCAAGTCGGAAAATGAGACGCCTCCGGGCGAATAACCATAATCACGGCGTAATACGTTTATGATGCGCGATTCGAGAGCGCACTTACGCGCTTAACTTACGCAACTTACGCGCAACGTTGTTCAGACGTTGTTTAGAAATTCCGCGACGGAGAGAGAGAGAGAGAGAGAGAGAGAGAGAGAGAGAGAGAGAGAGACGAGAGGAG